ATACAGGATTTCCAAGGCTGTAAATTTTTACAGGAGCAGAAAGCCTCATCTTTCTCTCGCTGAGCAGCTGGTAGTTTCTAACTGTTGTGGTTCGCAGCCCAATCAGTAACCATTATGCTACCAGAGCTCCTTATTTGAGAAGGTTGTTGTTGTTGTTAAGTGCTGTTGAGTCGTTTCTGACCCACAGCGACCCTATATAGGGTGTCCAAGGAACAGCTGGTGAGCTTGAACCACTGACCTTGTAGTTCAGACGACTTTGCAGTCTGATGCCTTAGCCCACAGTGCCACAACAGTATCCCATTTGAGAAGGTAGAACAGTCTAAATTATGCAAAACCCAAGAAAAGTAAATGTAGTACAAAGATTGTGTATGAATGATTCCATTTGTAAGGTTTTAATGCAATGTTAAAGGATTAGATCACATTTCCCCCTTTTAAATAGAACTGGGTTACCTCATTGGAATACTAACTCCAAAGTCATTAGTTTGAATCTACCAGCTGTTCCACAGGAGAGAGATGAAGCTTTCTGATCCTTTAAAGATTTACGGTCTGGCATTCCTATATAGTGTCACTATGAGTTAGGACCGATTCAAAGGTATACAGCAGCAGCAACATGTCAATGTTTGGAGTCCTGGTGTGACACTGTAGGCTAAGTACTGGACTGCTAACCACAAGGTTAGCCCTTCAAACCAACCAACTTTCTTCAGAAATCTATACAAGGTCACTATGAGTTGGAACTGACTCTATGGCACACAACCACTACCTCCACCACCACAGATTATAATTTGGAAGGGAGAAAAAACATTGTATGTACAATGGCAAAACTGAAAACACCTTGGCTGCAAAATTAACATAGTGAAGGGCATACAAACATGACATTTCAGAAGATATCCCAAGAAAGAGGTATGTTATATAGAAGTCTAGCCAAGGAGTGTTATTGTTAATTGCCAGATAGTTGGTTCTGACTGCTAGTGACCCTGTACAACAAAGTCAAACTGCCCCGTAGGATTCCTTGGAGAGCAGGCTTTACAGAAGCAGATTGCTAGGACTTCTCTCTGCAGAATAACTGGTGCATTTGAATCGCTGACATTTTGGCTAACAGATGAGCACTTAACCTCTGCGCTACCATGACTTACCTAATTATGTGAAAATATTGAACAAAACTGAATCTATAATATATTAAGCAAAACAAAATGGGTCTATAGTTCTCAAAAGTACTATTCTTGTGAAAGACAAAGATAGATTAAAGGAGTCTAAAGAGACTTGTCATCTAAATGCAATATGTGATTCTTGAGGGAAAAAGGTGCTGTAAGGGACATCATTGGGACAATTGTCAACGCTGGAATAAAGATAGACTAAGTAAAGATATTGTTTCAAAGTTAGTGTCTCAAGTTTGTTCATTCTTTTGCATTTATGTAGGAGATTATCTCTATTTGGAAACACACACTAAAGTATTAAAAAGATTGTGTCCTTGTATGGTGCTGTAAGATAAGCACTGGACTGCTAACCATAAGGTTAGTGGTAAAAACCAGCCACTCAGAAACCCTATACTGAGTAGCTATGACTTGGAACTGACTTAAGGGCACTTAACAATAGTAACAATAGTAATGTGCTTTTGATATTAAATAAAGCTGAAATATACTAACCTACTGTCATTATATATGCAACCTACTCTCAAATAGCTGTAGGGTAAGCACTAGACCACAAGGTTGGCTTGAACCGTAAGCTCAGAGGTTCAAATTCACAGGGTCACTATCAGTTGGAACCTCAACAGCATTTAAAAACAACAACAGCAACAACAAAAATACATATACATATGTTGCTGTTAAGTGCCATGAGACCGTTCTGATCCATAGCAACCCTGTATAGGGCTTTCAAGGAGTAGCTGGTGAGCTTGAACTGCCAACCTTGCATTTTAAATGGGTTTGTACTCTGGTGCACCAGGACTAAAACCTGGTGAGCTGTGTCTAAATCCCTTATGGAGCAATTCTACTCTGTCACATAAGGTTGCTATGAGTCAAAAACTGATTCGATGGCACCTAACAACAATAACAATTGTGGGTCAATAAATGTCCAGACTCTGAGAATTCATTAACAGAAAAGCAGATAAACATCCCACCTTCTAACATTCCATTCCTGAAATATAAACATTAAACATCCTCTGGTAGCGTAGTGGTTACGAATCGGGCTGCGAACCTTAAGGTCAGCGGTTCGAAACTACCAGCCGCTCCGCGGGAGAAAGATAAAGCTTTCTACTCTCGTAAAGATTTACACCCTCGGAAACCCTGTACAGGGTTGCTATGGGTCGGAACCAACTCAACGGCACTTAACAACAACAACAACAACAAATATCATTAAGGCCTGGTGTAGCACTGTGAGTTAATGCGCTAGACTGCAAAGTCAGTTTGAACTGCAAAGTTGGTGGTTCAAGCTCACCACTCGCTTCTTGGAAACCCTCTAGAGGGTCGCGATGGGTCAGAGCTGACTCAACGGCATTTAACAACAAATATCATTAAATTAAAAAAATATATAATCGTTAAATATCAGATTATGTCAAATGCTATGAAAAAATATGGAGAAAGTGGAAGAGAAATTGGATGGCAGGGTGAGTGTTCAAGATAGTTCTGAGAAAGTGATGTTGGACTTGATGAGAGGCCAAAGCAATGTTAGATTTCATAAAAAGAAGGTATATTCAAAAATCTGAATTTCCTTCATGAGCTTAGATAAGAATGTTAAATGAAAAAATAAAATTGGTCTTAATGTCATCCTCCTGACTTTTCTGGCCACAAATTGAAAATGAAATAGTTTAGTAGCTTCCCGTGCAAGCATCTATCATGGAAGGAGTCCATGTGCACATCCCACTGAGCTAATGTTAGAGCCTGCTTCCACATGTCTTTTTTTATGCAACCTAACTTAATTTTTGATTGTACAGGGAATTTAATTTTTATTTAACTTATGTTATTGTGGGACTTCCCTGCCAGGATGTCTTGGGTGCTTTCATGGTGCCATTTAGTCTTACACAGCACCACCATCTTTGTCCATTGGTGCTCTAACCACCAGTTTTGGTCAAAGACTAGACACCAATAAGCACTGAAGTTCCAGTATAAATTTGTATGTACACAGGGATTCAGAAAGGGTATGGTTCTATTTTTTTGAGTTGGGATCACCTCACCGACAGTGGGTGCTGTGGTGAAACTCTGTTTGCATGTCCACAAACTTGCAATGCAGCCTCAATAAGAGCAAATCCTTGCCTAGAGGAGGAGACATATCATTGAAGACCTCAAAACTGGTGAATGGGATAGACTGAGTCTCCACTGTAGGCCTAGATACTTGAGTCCTTTGGCCAGTACGTGTTTTTACCCTTGAAAAGTTTCATGATCACCCTAGAAGATGGTTGAGTATGGGATCAGAGTCAATGAGGGAATTATAGGGTTGGATCCTGATGGCGTATAGGTCAGGCAGCTGGAAGCTTTCCTTTCCATTGTGTTTAGGTTGGGTCCTAAGAAGGAATACTACTTGGACTAGAATGTTAACTTCCCTGTGCAGGACTTGGAGGAATGCTCTGATATAGTCTTCTGTGCTTTTCTCATGCTCTATGGCTATTTCCCTTCTAAGTGAGGAAATCTTTATTTGGATTAGTTAACATAGTAGATCCAGTTACAACCAAAGACGTTTTTCTGCTGCCATAGAAGTTCTTTCTCTTCCAGGTGACTTTTCAGATTCTTGGTGGGGTCATCTCATTTTCATCTTGTTGTACTGCCTTGAGTAATGGGGAGCTGGTATTCAAACCTTGGACTGTTTATTTTTCAAATCCTGGGCTCTTCACCCCATAGCATAGCTGCCTTGTAATGAAGGTAGATAAACCTCTGTCCATTGTGCATTAGATCAGAAATAAAAGGACAAATACGTTATGGCTTTGTCTTGGAGATGAAAGACATGGAAAATCCATTTATAAAAAGTAGATATGATAATTCTAAGAAGATTCACTTAGATTTTCAGAATCCTGCCCTCTCCTCCCATCAGCTTCCAAACCCCTTTGCCATCAAACCTATGTAAGGTTTTAAAGACTGTAAATCTTTATGGGAGCAGACATTTGCACCTTTTTCATGCAGAGTGGCAGGAGGATTTGAACCACTGACCTTGTGGTTAGCAGCTCAAAGCTTAACTCACAGTGCCACCAGGGCTCCTTCCCCCCTCTGCCCAGCTCCCTCCAAACGCAAGCACCAATGTACTACTTAATGTTTCTAAAACTAATTCTGACAAATCTGTTTTCCTATACTAATGAAAATGATTTCCACTGGTAACAACCTCCCTTAAAATAGGTAGAATAATTCTATGTGGTCTCTTTTATAAGGTTGAAGGACTATTTTCACACTTTCATTTCCTCAAGGAAAGAAGTTGGTGTTTTGATCATATACACTATATTAATAGTACAATGTAGCTGTTTGTAGTTTGACCTTTTCTTAAGTGACATACAGAGCTGAAGAGAAATATCTATTTAAATACTTTTGCTTGTGTTATTTTGCAAATACCTCTGGGAAAGGTGAAGAAACAAAACAACTCAAAAAGACAGTTTGTGTTATACAGATAGTTTATGTAATAGCATTGAGATGGTGTGTGAATTATTGAATTTTTATACTGTGGCCAATTTATGCTTTGCTGTTACTGTCTACAGATTAAAAAATATCTGAGTTCTCCTCTATTGTAATTCAAAACAAACCTGCCATACCTTCAATTTTCATCAGGATACTCATCCTATCCAGAAGATCCAGCAGGACTAGTTTGGTAATTGTTGAGGCAGTGACATTTATTAGGCCTTAAAGAGTGTCTCTAAAGAGCCAGGCAAACCTCCTTTAACATACTTATTTCCTGATCTGAATTAATCAATCCATTGTTAGGGCTAAGAAATCCTGTGTTTCCCAGGATAATACTCAAGGATAATGGGTAGGCTCCTTGTATGTCACTATTCCTGACATACTGTTTATTCTGAATTTGTACCTTAGGAGGATTCCAAAGGAAAAGAGCCTCATAAATATGAAGACATACCAACTAACAAACAAGATTCTGTTTATTATGTCAAAGAAGAAAAGAAGAAAACTTTGATAGAACCTTTACTCACAAGTGGTGCAGGTAATGTGAACTTAATGTTAGCAGTCTTTTGTTTTTGGTAAGTGCTGTCAAGTCGGTTCCAGCTTATAGTAACCCTGTGTAGGGTTACCAAGGCCTTAAAATTTTGGGGGTGGAGGGTGGGGAGTGGGAGGAAGCAGAAAGCCTCATCTTTCTCTGGCAGAGTAGTTGGTGGGTTCAAACTGCTGAACTTGTGGTTCGCAGTCCTATGTGTGCTAATCCTATGGAGCCACTGTGCTCCCTTATTTAGCAGTTGTTGTTGTTGTTGTTGAGTGCCATTGAGTCGATTCCAACCCACAGCGACCCTGTATAGGATTTCCGAGGAGTAGCTGGTGAGCTTGAACCATCAACCTTGTAGTTCAAATGGCTTTGCAGTCTGGTGCATTAACCCACAGCACCACACCAGTAGGCAATAAAAAAATTCTATCATATTAAGAATGCATTTTTTATCAGATAAATTTTCTATTGCAAAGTTATTTCTTGACTTGTAATTATCTGATTTATTAATAAAATGTTCAATTCTAATGACAGGCATAGAAAGAGCAGAGAAACATAATTCCAAAGACTGCAAGCAATGAGTTTCTCTAAATAGGAAACCTCTCAAGATAAATATGGCATTTAAAACTAATTTTGAAGTCTATGTGTACATCAGAGTTGGGCATTTTTTTTCTCTTAACAACCAAAGACACAGTAAATAACAAACAAATAGATCTTTTGAAGAAAACATGAAACTAAAGCCATTTAGTTTGTTTAGGTTTACTTTTGAGTATGAGACACATTGAAAAGATGATTGTATTTTTACATAAATAATGTGTGCGGTGTATGGTTTTGCAAACTGCACACCCCCTCATGCATTAGTTTCCTGTGTAGCTATGTACATTATATGATTGTGCTATTTATTTGAGTGCATTATATGTAAAAATATGATAAACTTCATAATTAATTTTTAAACAGTATGATTTAAAATATATTGTTGCTGCAACTACTGCTATTATTACCATTAATTAAACTCTTATTGGGTGCCAGCGTCTGCATTAGGCTTTATTCATGTCTTAGCTCATCGATATGTATGATAAATACTTGCTCTTGTGGCTGGTTTGGGAAAAGAAAGACAGGTGGTGAGCAGAGACTCTTCTTAACTTCTCTGCAGTATCTGAAACCTTTTGTAAGTCATTTTTCTAAAAATTTTCTTACCTTTTGGTTTCTAGTACCCTGTAGTACAACTCATGTTTTTTCTTCAGTGTTCTGTAATTCTTTCTTAGGTTCTTCTATTGCTCTTCTTTTGGCTTCCAAGCTAAAATTCTGGATCTTTCCCCAAGAATTTGCACTTGGTCCTTTTCCTCTCTTGCCCTCCTCTCCCAATTCTACAAATGAGTGTATTGTTCTACTGTGTACTAGGCACCAATTTAAGCACAGTAGATGAGGAAGATATAATCCATCCCACCACAGAGTTTACCATCTGGTAGGTGAGGCAGATGTATAAACAAATATACTGCACTGATAAAACACAACCCTCAAAGCAAAGCCTATTTAACCTGTATATGTCTGAAGTTCTATGGTCTGTCAATAGTAGTTAAAAAATTAATTACTATGCATAAAATATTTTCCTTGGCAAAGTTTTCTACAGAAGCAGCTTAGGCTAACCAGTGAACATTGACCTTCCCTTTGGCAGGCAGTATGGAGGAAGAGGAATGTGGAATTTGGAGTTCAGATTCTGGCTATCACCCTCACATAACTGTGGGCAAATTTCTTTATCTATAAAATGGGAATACAAAGTTTGGTTGAAAATATAAAAAATATAGATTAGTGCTTGGGACATAGTGGATTCTTGGTGAATATTAGTTAACTTTTCTTTTCTCTCACCTTCCACCTGTTTACCAACTAGGGTAGAAATTCATCGAGCTCAAAGATTTTAATGATAGTTCTTGTGAGCTGAGGTTTGGGGAAAGATAAAGGACTAGAATGGAATGGGTGAGGAGTGACATAGGTCTGAAGTTTCAGGGGTATGTAAATGGTTAATGCTCTTGGCTGTTAACAGAAAGGTTGGAAAAATTCCACCCAGAAATGGAAGAAAGGCCTGATCATCTACTTATGAAAACATTAGCCATTGAACCAGCTAGAGAGTATAGTTGTACTCTGACACAAGTGGGGTCTCCATGAGTTAGAACTGACTGGAGAACAACTTGTTGTTGAGGTAGGTCCAGGACTCTTGAATGTGAATGCTATTGGAGAAATACCATTTCTGAAGGACTTTCTAATTTTGTTACTTCCATCAGGGGTTGCTTTTCAATCTTGATAAGCTCATAAATAAGAACAAAACAAAACAAAAAAAACAACTCACTGCCATTAGGTAGATTCTGACTCATAGTGATGCTCTATAGGGTTTCTGAGGCTGTAATTCTTTATGAGAGTGAAAAGCTGTATCTTTTTCCCATGGTGTGGCTGATGGGTTTGAATTGTTGACCTTGCAGTTAGCAGTTCAGTGCTTATCCTACAGTGCCACCAAAGCTCAATGAGCTCATAGAGTCTCCCATTTATATTTTTTTGGATGCTCAGGAAACTAGTTTGACTACGTTTTCATTTTTGCTGTCACCTATTGCTTTTGATCAGGGTGGAGATAAATTTTTGAAGAACCTTGGAGTTTCATAAGCATCATACATCCAATTGAAATGTTAATTAATACTATTCTTATGTATTGATTAGGTGAGTACTTCATAAGTTTATGGTTTGCCCAAATCTCATTCTAAAGAATATTTTGAAGTTATAAATCTTAAATATATTGTATGAGATTTAGATGTCTGACTGGTGTGGTTACTTCTTATTCATTTACATTGAATTAATAGGACACACATTTGTTGAATACTTAGTATATTTCAGCTCTTGGACTGAATACTGGAGTAGACAGGGCACAGAGATGACCAGAATTTCCAGGATATATATCCTTGTATGGAGACAGACACACAGATAATGCTGAAATCAAGGTCCACTGAGATGAGTACTTCCGTTGTTAGGTGCTGTTGAGTCAATTTCAACTCAGAGATTCTATGTGACAGAGTAGAACTGCCCTATAAAGGAGGCAGATTGCCAGGTCTTTCCTTCACAGTGCTGTGGGCTAGGTTTGAACCATTGCTCCTTGAGGCTCCTGGTGCAATGGTTCTATGGCAACAAAACCTAAGAGCAATAGGAAAATAAAGGAGAGAGTGAGACCCCATGGGACATGGGGTCTGTGATTACTGGACCAGATTGCCTACTTGATGACGAAGGAAGCTAAAAGAAAGCCAAGTTTTTCTCACCCTTATTACAACTTGATTTAAGTCAGAAAATGTACAATTTGCTTTAGTATTTCCATTTTTTTTAATTGTCCCTCAGGTGATGTGTATAAAGCTCAGACTCCTAATGCAGAAACCCAAGGGGCACCAGAAGTAAAAGAAGACCAAGATGTGAAAGTGGAAGTGCCTGTGGATCAGGTACGGTTCATACTTGGTGTATTGGGTGAATTAGAACTCTCATTCCTATCCATCTTCTTCTGGGTAACTTGCAGCTTTGAATACAAAGCATGGATGAGCCTTTCTCTTGCAGGCTTAATTTTGCTCCATCAGCCCCTGCTTGCCTTTTCAGTCTCATCCTCAACCTTGTCATCTACCTCAAAGTTATCTCTGGCCTCTGTCAGTTTGTATAATGTTCTATGGATTCTTAGCTATTATTCATTCTTCAAATCCTTTATCAAGCATTTCCCTGCCTGTCCCTTTCTTCTGTTGTATGGACCCTTACTAGACTTTGTGGCAACATATTCAGTTTTATAATTATTTGACTAAGTCTCTTTCTTCCACTAAACTATCAGCTACACAAAGAGTGATTCTTATGCTTTGCTCACTATTGTAGCCCTGTATCTAGCAGAAGCCCTGATACAGGGCTGCAATGAAACAAAAAACAAAACAAAACAAAAAAACTTGTTGCCACTGGAGTCAATTCTGCCTCATGATTTCTACCATCAGGTTTGTATATGGATTTAGTGAAGTAATTCAAGTATAAGGACCAAGTACAATGCCTGGCACATAGTGGATCGTCTGTCACATTTTCCTCCCTTCTGGCTTTAGAGAGGAGTGGGAAGAGGAATTCTAAGAAGAGTCTAGAGAGTAAAGGAGGGAAATAGTTGGGCCAGGACTGGGGAGAAGGCATAGGAGAATGAGAAAGAGATGCTGAAATTAAGACCTTTCTCTATCAAAGTAAAATCAAAGGCCAAGAGGGAAACAGAGTTAGAATGTGTGTGTATGTTTGTGTAATAACAGTGCTGCTCAAAACTTTTTAGCATGATGAATAATGCTGAAGTTAAAAGAAGGAAGAAACCTGGAAGAATTATAGTTTGAGGCCTGGGGGTTCTAACCCCAGCTCTGCCACCACTGTGTAAGACTCCAAATCACTGTGGCCTCAATTCATTTATGAAAAAGAGGTATTTTGTCAGATGAGCACTAAAAAATGTTAGTTTCAAAATCACATGGGTTTGTCATCAACTGCTATCTTAAGGACTAAATTATTTGGTTTTGAAAAAAGGATTTCTATTCTGTAAAAGGCAATATTAGCAATTGAATCTCATTTTTTTTTTTTTTTTTTAATAGACCAGGTACTACCAATATCGTTCTTGTAATTGTGAAGTACTGAATTCTGGTATCTAATAAGGTTTTTGGTTTTTTTTCACTTCTCTTTCAGTAATCAATCATTCTTAACTCCTGCTGTTTTTCGTTTCTGTGGTCTATTTTAAAAATCTTAAAGAACAAATCTTAAAGTAGAAACTTCCTTTTGGCACTGTGAGCTGTCTTGAATGTGTCCTTCTACGTTTTCTAAATCATTAGTCATATTATGTACTCTTTTTCTTGACATGATTCAAAATGACCAAAATATTTGGTTTTCTCCAGAAACCTATACTAATGGTTTAATTATTTCTTACTGCATATTTTATACCTTGTTGTTGATACATTATTGTGAGTTTTCTGGATTATAGACTGAGAGCATTCTGTACCAGTTTAAAATATAGGTAGAGTCCTGGTGTGGCACTGTAAGATAAGCACTAGACTGCAAAGTTGGTTTGAACTGCAAGGTTCAAACCACCAACTCTTCGGAAACCCTATAAAGGCTTTCTATGAGTTGGAACTGACTCAATGGTATTTAACAACAATAACAAATTTCTGATATACCAAATGCTATTGCCATCACTATTTGTATATAATAAGCATTGATATGATTCATTTGCTAGATGACTTGTTTCTGTTGTATTTGAGACTGAGTGAATTACGTAACCCAGACTAGTTTCTGGCTAGAGGAAAGAAGAGGGACAAACAATGAACTCTTGGAAACTCCAACGTTAAGGACTACTTGGAGGAATGAAAGTCAGAAAAGGCAAGAGTCAGGAATAAGTGGGTTACCAGAAGCATGATACTACATTGACTGAAAGAGGGATGATTTGGAGAATTGGAAACCACATGGTTGTGTTGCTTTCAGTGTAACAACTCTTCTCCAAATTAGGTAGGGCTGATGGGTCAATGAATTGGCTTTCTAGTTGTCTGGTAATGAATACTGTTGGCATAGTGATTAAGTGATCAGCTGCTAACCAAAAGGTTGACAGTTCGAACCCATCAGCTGTTTTGTGGGAGCTGTCATAGTTTGCTTCTGTAATGATTTATAGCAGTTCTACTCAAATAGAAGTAGCTTGGGCTAACCAGCATACATTGGCCTTTCCTTTGAAAGGCAGCATGGAGTGATAGGAATATGAACTTGGGAGTTCTGATTCTGGCCATAACTATGGACAAAATTTTTTTATCTTTAAAATAGGAATACAAGGCTTAAGATTACCATGAGTATTAAATATCAAATACATAGACTAGTGCTTGGGACATAGTGGATTCTTGATGAATATTAGTTAACTTCCCTTTTTCTCTCACATTCCATCTCTTAGAAATTCATCAAGTTCAAGACTTTGGTGATGGTTCTTCTGGACCGAGGGTTGGCGAAAGAGATAAAGTACAAGAATGGAATAAGTGAGGGCTGACATAGGTCTGAAGTTCTGCTATACGGTCACTGTGAGTAGGAATCAACTCAATAGTAGTGGTTAGTTTTTTAGTTTAGTAGTCAGGTGGCAATATTAAAGTGAGTTTTATGACTTGCAAAGAGTGAAATGGTAACAGACTTCCAACTATGACTGCTTCAATTGGCATGAAGAATTTGTGAGTGTAAGTTAGTTTCACATTTGTTCCTCAGGAATAAAAGGAGACAGAACTGCTGCTATCTGGTGGGTCAGAAATAAGGCTTGTTGGAGAGAGTTGAGTGCTGGGGAAGGAACCTTCATGCACAATGCACCTGGGGGAAGGGAAATGCCCCTTCTTAAATCCCACCATGCCATTACCTGATGCACTGCAGGTGTTCAACAAATGTTTATCAAATCAGACTGAACTGGATACAAGAAATCCCATGTAATTGGATAGATTATGGCACAATCAGGTTAAATTGAAGTTCAGATCATCTAGATAGGCCAAGGTCACTCAAAGTGTATTCTACACCTTTGAACATAGAAAATTACATTTGCGAAGCCCTACCTTTTGCATCTCTCTCTTGGAGGAGTCACTGTGCACATTAGATTTCAGAGAAACCTTTAGAGTTGATGAGTAAATAGAGTTAGCCAAAACCAATTTTAAAGCTTTTGGCTAACTCTATTTACTCATGAAGTATTATAGTCTACCAGTATAGTTATCCAAGGACTTTCTTCTAGATGGGTGAGGGAAAGAAGTGATCATGTAGAGCAGGGAAACATGATAATTTGTAGTTTGAGAAATCCAGAAGTCCTGTGTTCTCCTGGTGTAAACCTGGTCCAGTTGAGTGCACATATTAAAGCAGCACAAATTTAGAGAACTGCATGAAAAGGGGTGAAGATGTGGTTACATTATAGTTTTGTGTTTCTTTACTGGATAAGCTCTTGTGTATCACTGTGAATCATTGATTTCCCTGTGAAAAGAGGGGTTGGCCCTTCCATAAAAATATTTGTGCTCAGAAATATCCATATAACATTCTAGTCTATTAATGAAGATGGTTTAACCTTCTTTAATGTAGTATTGATGGCATCAAATAAACTAATAAACTCCAGTTGTTAAGGGAAGAGTAGATTTTAAAGTGCTGATGAATAAAAAGTGAAGGCTATTTTCATTTCTTGCTAAGTGGTCTTATGTATCTCCATTTTTGTGAGTTTGATAGCAAGCAAGATTGGTACTATGGCCTCCTTAGTCATTGTCTTTCCTTTATTCTAAGACCACTGTCTTCAAGCTTTCCTCCTAATACTTTAAAGCCAGTTCAAGAATTTCTTGCAGAGAAGGGAGAGCAGCAACATTGCAATATACAGCAGAAAGTACCAGAAATTTAGCTATTACAGAGATGTTATACTGGACAGTGAATAAGGAAGACTGTAGAAGAATTGATGTTTTTGAGTTATGGTGTTGGAGGAGAATACTGAAAGTGCCATGGGTTGCCCAAAGAACCAGTAGATCCGTTTTAGAAGAAATGCAGCCAGAGAGCTCCTTGGAGGCCAAGATGGCCAAACTTCATCTCTCATACTTCCGACATATTGTCAGGAGGGACCAGTCACTAGAGAAGGATATCATGTTTTGTAAGGTGGAGGGTCAGAGAAAAAGAGGAAGACCCCCAATGAGATGGATTGGCTAAGTGGAAGCATTGATAGACTCAAATGTGGCAACAGTAGTGAGGTTGGCCCAGGATCGGGCAGTGTTTTGTTCTGCTGTGCATAAGGTCACTATGAGTCAGTACCGACTCGATGGCACCTAACAACAACAACAAATAGTTGCTTTGGGACCTAGCCTTCCTGACAGACAAGGTGATTACAAATCATGTATTTTGATCTTGATTTTTAAAAAAATTTTATTTTAACTTTTTATTGTGAATAAAGTAAAGGTTTACAGAGAAGATCATCAGTTTTACATTCAACAAAACATACCCTTTGTTTCATCTCAATGACTGCAATCCCCTCCATGCAACCACAGTTATCCCACTTTCTACTCGTGGTTCCTATTTCCATTCCACCTGCCTTCTCATCCCTTCTTAACTTTGCTCTTTGCCTTTTTGATTTTGAACTATTGACCATTCCATGGTGACCATACCTTACTATTGTTGTTGTCCCCCTTATATACCTGTCTACTGCTTGGCTTAAAACTGGGCCACAAAGGATGAGTTCCAGACCTGAAGGGTGGTTGAGGGCCATAGTCTCAGATTCCTTGAATCTCTTTCTGACCAGTATGCCTGGTATTTATTATAATTTTGAATTTTGTTACATGTTTTCTGTCACTATATCTGGGACCTTCTAATGTAATAATGTTCAGAGCAGTTAGTAGTGTTAGCCAGGCTCAGGTCTGGTTCTGATATCAGAGTCATGGTGACTGATGTTTACCTGCTCCATTGGTCCATTGGACTA